TTATAAATATATATAAAAACATGATGAATTATTTAACCATGTGCATTGTATAGCACAAACACATATGCATTCTCCTTGGTCATAAAGAGAGCTAGAGAAGGCCCTTTTTATTTATTTTTAAAGAAAAAGAGAAGGATATAAAAATCAGAATTTCTACACATTATACATTATAATAAATAGAAATTGACAATGATTTCAGTCACGATCGGAGAATGTCATGCGCAAGAAAGGGCAGCAATCATCAACTGCTATATGTGTGGACAGTTATAACATCCTTATAATTATAATGCTCATTGGGTATATATTTTATTATCTATACTCCTCCAGAATTTTAAAATTCAATATTTCTTTTTTTGTCTTTCACTCGATTTGGTTAGTTCTTTCCAATTATTATCTTGGTGTAGTGGATTAGGAATATTCTAGGGGTTGAGCTAAGGTTATTATTCAAAGGAAAAATCATTTATTAGGAAAAATTAATCATTGTTAATTATTTTACTAAGTTTGTCAGTTCTTTTTTAATTATATCTTGCTTGTAGTGGATCAGGAATGTTCTGGAACCTGTTCTGGCTATACTTCAAAAATAATATCATTGTTAAGTATTCCACTATATATTACTAGTACTAGTACATGTCCCTACTGTTTCTACTATATTTTCTGCCCTACCAAACAAATCCACGTAAAAGCTGGCCAGGAATGATGAATATTTAATTTCATAAATTCTTCTCCATCATTTGTCTCTTTCAACGCCTATAAACGACAAAATATAGACTTCTAGATACTCGTATGTGTGTATTCGGACAAAAAGAAATCGTACATACATGCACTCGCTAACATATATGTTTAAAAAGTATTTTTAATTATCTTTTTAAAAAATAATTTAAATTATTTTGATGTGTAAATTTTAAAATATATTTTATAAAAATAAAAATAAATATTATTTTAATGCATTCTCAAACAAAAAATATTTGAACAATATATTGTAAAATGAAAGTAATGTTTCATTAACTAATTAATATTTAATAAATGTTTGGTTAAATTTTATTATTATGTTTTTGAAATAAAAATATCAATAAACACTTGCTAAAATATTTAAGCAGATATATATTATTTATGTTATATTTTTTGTGTGAAATTAATTCCTAGTTCAAAAAAATTGAATGACATGATATTATATATATATACAGATCATTTTTAATTAATAAAAATAATAATATAAAAAATAATTTTAAAATGAAATTATAAAACACTAGAATACTTAATATATAATAAATTAGAAAAAAATAATATAAAAAATTATAATTATAATTTTTTTAAAAAATCACTGTAGACAACTTCGTTTCGTTTGTTTTTTTTTTTGGTTGAGAGCATAAAAAAATGATATTAAAAAAATGGCATATTAACCAAACAATAACTTTACATAAAACCAATTAAAAATAGTTGTAGTTTAAAGTACAGGAATACAAAAGGAGCAAGTAGTGTTGCTTGTGGGTCCACCGCATGTTCTTTCTTATACACTTGATAAAGGAATACCAAACAGACAAGTAGATAGTCCAAGGCATCTGTTGTACTCGATACTATTTTTGGAGTGTCAAGATATTAATATTGTATTTTGAATAATATAAATATAAATTTATTTTTATTTGTATATAAAAAAGTTATATTTTTTTTTAATTTATGTGAGGTGTTCGGGCTAGCTTGCGCGGACCATGACTAATCTCCACGACCCACTAAATACCCTGCAAATTCAGTAGGCATGTAAAGTACCGCGGGGGTGACAGACGTGCATATCAGGGCTCGAACTCAGATGCAGTAAAAGAAGACAAGCCTCTTCTATTACTAAGTCAAGCCCTTAATGCTTAAAAAAAAAACTATTTGAAGAGATATTTGTAACGGAGAGAGAGAAAAAAATGCTTTATTTTCTTATTGGTCCCACCCTATTAGGTTTTTTTTTTGAGACATGTGGAAATAGCTTTTACAGAAGAAAAGAGGCATTTTAGCTATTCTTTTACCATCACCGTTAGACATTTTTTTTTTTCTCTGGCTCTGCTTTTACCTTATGCATTAGAGATGCCCTCATAATTGGAGTTCGGGTTTTTAGACAAGATTTTTAGGGTTAACTGACAACTAGTCCACTTCAGTCCTGCTACTATTAAACTTGATACTTTTGTCCATAATATGGCTGTCTAAATAACCATAATTGTCAAGATTTAGGAGACGAGAACTTCCCCACTGTAAGCACTCCTTCCATCTCTTCACAAACATCTAATTCACTTGAATTTTAAAGATTATGGCTTCAATTCTTTCTTGTGGGCTTGTTGAAGATTGGAAAGGAAGAAAAACAAGGAGAAATGTTTAGCATATGAAAGAAAATTTTGGTTCTAAAAGTTTAAGTATACTAATTGAAAATGCACGAAATGAAAAGGATGCGATGCTACCTAGAAAATCAATGTGCATTGTCCAGCATATCAAGTATTTAAAAAAAAAAAAAAACTAGTATCATTAGTTGTGGTATATATTATTCGTAATATATATAAGTTAATCTAAACATTCATATTAATCTAAATTTTTTTTATTTATTTAAATATTAGGCTAAACATTTTATATTCATATTCATAGGTGTCTTGTAAAAGTTGTTGTATATTTATACTCTTTTAGATGTTATAATAGAATTTTATTTTCCAATCAAAAAAATAAATTATTAATCAAATAATAATATTTTTAAAACACAAAAATAAATATAAATGGGTTTTTAGTATTGTTTGTAAGTGCAATTATACCATATTAAAAGAAAACTGAATTTTTTTTATAAAAATTAAATTAATATTTTTAAATTAATTTATGGTGCTGATATTAAGAATAAAAAATATTATTTTAAAATATTTTTAAATTAAAAAACACTAAATTAAATAATCGGAATTCAAATTTTTTTTCCAAGACGGGCCTTAATTTGTTAGGTCGAATTAGCGTGTCATCTTTAAAGCACACATCTCAATCAAGCGATTAAGTCAACGCAACAAAAATCAAAAGCGGCTTCTGAGTTCACTTGCTTGGAACTCAAGACGATTTTTTGAGTAAAAATTATTATTTTTGACAATATATAAATATTATTTATATATCAAAATATTTTTTAAAACATACAAATATTTTTTTTTAAAAAAATGGCTTCTGGGTTTTCTAAAATATTATTTTTTAAAATATACAAATGATATTTTTTTATTTTTTAATATTTATTCTTTACATTATTGTATTAAAATGATTTCAAAATAAAAAACAATTAATTTTTTTAAATAGAAAAACAATCCAGTGCTATTAGTGCTACACAGTCATCAAACAGTTACTTTATTCATCACACCTGATCATCTGATGTGATTCTCATATCCCCCATCATTCTGTAGCAAAGTCACCAGGTATGCCCCTGTTGGGTCATGTTTATTAAAATTATCAGAAATTTGCATAATGGACCTAAAAATTCTCACAACAAAGAGAAAAAAAAGTTTGCGAAATTTGCATTGAAAGATGCCAGGTTTTGCAACTAGGCGAAGACAGTACTGTAAAAATCATACAAGGTTTTAAGTGATGGAATTCAAGGGTCTTTAAGATATGTTTTTCAAGATAAATTTTTATTTAGATTTTTTACATCAGTACCACAAACATCCCCCTCTACACTACTGGCATGCTTCGTGGCGTTATGCTTCAATTTATAAAAACATGAATCTGCTAGGTGTTTCATTTTTAGCAAAATCAGACAAGGTGAAGAGAGCTGCCCCTTTGCGAGAAAAGCAAGAATACAAATGCATGAGAATGCGCTTCTAACAAGTCTGGCTTCCATTACCATCAAAACTCAAAAAGTTTCTTGGCATCTATCTCAATACACCATGCAAAGTGATGGCCTCTTACGGGAATGGAAGTGTGACTGAACTGGCCTAGTGCCCTATGTGGGGGTCATGATGATCATGCCATCCAACCATCAGATATTAAGCACGTTTGTGGGAGGTCAACCATGAAATCGAGACACGGACCCCGCAGGGATATTATCTTAGGCTCGGAGCCTCGGGGCTTTTGTTTGACATGCCTATTATATATGAACGCCTCCTCCTGTGTTCTTTTTAGGCCACAAGGACTCAATAATGCTTTCCATTTATGCAATAACAACACAAGAGAACACAGCTCAAGGAAAGGAACGTTTTCGGCCTCGACACATTCAGCCTGCAGGCAGTGCCGTACACAGGAAAATTAAGAATCCCTGATGCCGTCTTGCATTAACTCTCAGTAATTTAAATATCTTCAATCCTGAGTTTCAGTATTAAATGTTTTCTTGACGGGTCTCTTGCTTTCACAATTAAAGGTGCCTTTCTTGACCGGGAGAAGTTTCAGAGATTAATTTGTCTCATGCCCACCAAAATATAAAGGAAGAAAAATATCGAAGCACTATAGAAGCCACAGAATTGATAGCCACCATTCTAAAATTCTCTCTTGCTAAAAGAGGGCATAAATACAAACAGAATCTGGCAACACTTCTTCTACGAGGATATAACAGGGAAATTATATAAAATATGAATAGGGTGGAAGCTGTGTTGTGGGGGGAGGGGGGGGTAGATACCAGATATAGATACTGTTACCCTAATTGGCAAATTATCACCCTCTATTTTCTTGCCATTTTTTCACCATTTAGCATCTGCCAAAAACCAATCTCCTAGCATCCAAAACAAAGAAGAATGAGAGCAAAAATCCCCCGGAGTGGAGGGCCCACCCTTTTTGAAATATTTGTTGTTGACACTTTTGGCACCATTTTCTTACCGTATTTTAATGCCACCAAAGTCAAATCACAGGTTCAACTTTTATCAGAATTTCCATGGATTTATCATCTGAGGGACAGCATAAAGGACAAGGTTTTTCATTTACCAATTCTTGAAAGCTTCGGCTTGCTTGAGAATTGAGATGAAACCAGCAGTCGTCGTTGTATTTTCGCCAACTAAAAGCAAAGGATATTTATGCACACATTTTCCCTCTTTCCAAAAACTGTACAGTTAGATTCAAAGTCATATATACATACCCACAAGAAGAGGAACAAAAAGAAGAGAAAACACAAAAGAAGAGAAATTCCAACCCTCAAAGTAAAACAAGAAGGGCCAAAAAATCTTGATCGGATAAAAAAACAAGAATATAATAAAACAAAGAGAAAGGAAGGGAGGGAGGAAGGACGGACTCGCACACACAGATACATACACAGACATTCATATGGAATAAAGAAAGAAAAGAAAAGAAAAAAAACACTAATAATTCCATAAAACAGTACTGTCATTGGGCAGTGTAAAATCATCACAAGCATACCCACCACCACCGCTGAGACAGATATTCTCCACGCTTTGCATCCATGGTGGAGGATACATCCACCCATAAACAGAGTCAGAGTAAACAAAATCATTGTTCAACTCATCATAACTCGTCTCAAGATTTGGCAATTCAACAATCTCGCTCAACTCTTCATCTTGAGACGACAAGTCCATCAAAGAGACAAGAGAAGTCAAAGACGACGTACAAGAAGACGACGAGGACGCTGTTGTGGTGGTGGTTGTTTCGGATTTTTGGTCAAACTTGTCCATTTGGGCAGCTTTAGCAGCGGCTGCTTGAACGTCACGAGGAGCGAGAGAAGCTGGACGAGGTAAAGAGTTAGCGAGTTCAGGGAAGTTAAGAATAGCCGAGTTTCCTTTGATGCTTAAAGCAGCGGCATCGTGCGCACGCGCCGCCTTTTCTGGGGTGGGAAAGGTACCTAACCAAATGCGAGATTTTTTCCTAGGCTCTCGGATTTCAGACACCCATTTGCCCCAGTTTCTCATCCGAACTCCACGATAGACTGGATGCTTGCTAGAGTCTCTTATTCTTGTTATTTTCTTACTAGGAGAGAAATCTTGGTCTTGTTGGTGTTTCTTTGATGGGTTAGAGTTAGAGGATGGCGAGGATGGCGAGGATGGTGAGGATGCTTTTGTTGAGCTGCTTTCTGTCTCCGGATTTTGTTGCTGATGATAACTCATTTTCTTTTAAAATAAAAACAGTGGGGTGATTGGTCCTTTTTCGAGGGTAATTGCGTGCCAAAATGAGTGAATGATGGATGTACTTAAGCTGTAAGTATTAATTGAGCAAAACAGAGAGGTGAGCTGAGGAGAAAAGAACGAGTGCTGGTGTTTTGAGACAAAACAGAGCACAACAGAGGTAGTGTTGCTGCTATAGGCAGAGTGGGATAATGGAAGGATGAGGCAATATGGGGGTGGAGTTACAGACGAGAACTGGTGCCTGGCTGTTTCAGTGAACAAAAAGAGATTGAAAATTGGGCTTTAAATGAGGAAGAAAGGGGAAGAGAGAGGAGGGAGCTCTTAAACCAGGGGAAGCTGGCGATGTATACACTTGAACAAGGGCATTGCCTTTTATCACATCATTTCCCAATGACTCATACTAACACTTATAAGCATTGAAGGAGGGAGGGGGCGAGGTGAAGGGGTGGACCAATAAGAGAAATGGGACACCCTATGGTACAATGGGGTCCCTCTCTACAGTGCCACGCCACCCATCTGATCAATTTTTCCTCCTTTTTTTTTTTAACAAGTTTCCCCTATTCATTTGTCCCTTATCTTCTCGCTACCTCCCATTAACAAACCCCATGAGAATATGCGTCACCGTTTTGCCCTTTTCTGTGGGATTAGAGGTTTCCCTCCCGATTGGTTGGTAGGGATGTAATAATATTATATTACGGGGCAGCAATCTGGGGTTATACAGTCCTACTTTTTGTGTCTTAATCCATTGCATAATAAATAATATAATATAATATTGTGGAGATCTTTTGTAGTCGACGTGGTTTTGTTTGATATTTTGAGGCACCAAACCAAGGGGTTTCACTGCCCACCCGGCTTAAATCTTAAGGCCCATATTTACCCGGTCCCAACATGATCTTGTATAAGCTAAGGCCTTAGCCTAGCTACCATCTAGCACCAGCTCTCTCTCTCTCTTTTCTTTATTGAGGAGTTATTTGGTTTCACTCCCAAGCTTTCGAATCGTTACTTCTTCTCTACCATATAAAACATTTGAGAACTGATATGGATGAACACTATAGCTTTTTTGTATCTTTTTTTTTTTTCAATTTCCCTTCCTCATTTTTTTTCCATTCCCCATTTTTTTTATTTTAATTTCATCTATTTTTTCTTTATTAATTCTTAAAAGATTTTTAAAAGTCATTTTAGTTGCATTGAAATCGGTGAAGTTAACTAAATTATGTCAAGACGGTTATTGCATGGTTTAATTTTAAATTTGAATTAAATAAAAAATTAAGTTAATAAGGTTTTTTTTACTGAATTTATTATTTTATTTCTGGTAATTCGTGTACAGTTTAATTAATTAAAGTAGTAAGTGATGTTTTCTAATAATAAAGTTACAAAAAACTTCAAAATCCCGAGAAAGAAAGAAGAAGAAGAAAATGGAGGAGAGTATACTTAAATTGCCGGGGGTCCAGCATCTGTGATTTTGGATAGGAGTTGCGTTGATCTCCAACACTCAGCCACCAAACTAGATACGAGTCCCCAACTCACCTGGGTCCCAGCTCTATTACCATTTTGGTGTATCCATGGGCCCAAAATGGTAACTCGCCACGTGGTGTGTTTATGTTAAGAAGACAGCTTAACATTCATAAATGAACTTTACCCAGCATGTTAAAAAATGACTCTCCTCCTTACCCAGAATCTAAGAGCCATTTCTTTAATAATGTCTGTTGTTTTGGATTGTGATTGTGTTATTTCGTAAAATATTTTTTTGGTTAAGAAATATATTAAAATTATATTTTTTAAAAATTATTTTTAAAATTAACACATCAAAATAACCTAAAAGTATAAAAAAATAAATTTTAATTTTAAAAAAAATACAGATTGCAGCATTTCCGAACAGGGTTACGTGTGATCAGCATGATACTTAATGGTCGCTTCATCATGATTGCGCCTTGCAAGAGTTTTATCTTGATTGTAAATCACGGAAAGCAAATTTTAGAAAAAAAATAGCTTAATTTTGTCTTTTTATTTATTTATCTTGGGAGTTGTTTTGAATATCTTCCTACACACATCAATAAATTGCCGGTTATTATGATGTGCCGGTTACGTGGATAAATTGCATATGATGACTCTTTAAGTTTAAATCTTTAGCCAATTACCTCTCTCCATGCAATAAATCACATACACTATCTTGTATCTTTTAGGTATTAATCATGGTTTCAAAAAATAAAAAATAAATTGATCACAGTTCTCTATAAAACCCTTGTTATATTGGGTATCAGATCAAAAATCTTTTTTAATTTAAAAAAATATTAAAATTATTTGAATTCTTTTGATCTAATTTTTTTACTAGTTTAAATTTAAAATTAAATTATATAAAAATTAATGTGAGATGACTACGCCTGAATAAAACCTGACGGATCGATAATAAAAGTACAAGATTGAACTGACAGAAAAAATGAATAAAAGTCATGACTTGTTTTTTTAATGAAAGAAATCATAACTGGCCTTCATGGAGATTTATCAATAAAGAAAGGACAGCTTAAATGGTTCATAAACGGGTTTTGAAAGCTTTCTAATATAAAAAAAAATGCCTGTCTTAATCTTAGTAAATAACAGGTTAGTACACCTAAAGTTTTACAGTTTATAATAAATTAAATGTCATATAGTTTTACTTGACTTTTTTCTTTTTTTCTCTTTAAATTGATCCTAATTTCATTGATTTTATCCTGAAAAGGCCAAGATGATTAGTCAACTAATCAAGAGGGTGAGAGAGATGAGATTTCATGAGAGACGCTGGATGCATAGAAAAAAATGATCACTCAACTAAAAGAGAATAATACCCTAATAAAATCTTAGCCCTTCGTTGAACACAAACGACCACGATTAAACTGAGAAGAGTGCACCATGGAGCCCTAACTTGAGGAAGGTCCATGCAATCTGCCAAACGAAACCCTAGTAGCTCTATTCGCAAGGCAATCAATGCACACATCATTCTCATCGACGCTACAATGCTGTGCCCCCAGATAGTAGCACCCACAAGAATGAAAAAGAAAAGGAAGAAAAAAACCCTATCAACAGGGAATAAGACATCATGCTCCTCCTTTTTTTTAAAGAATTAATAATACCTTTTTTCCCCCCTCATCTGTTTGCCAACAACGTTTGCTATATTTTCTATAAATGAACAAATTGTCACTTCTGACGTCTCCACCGCACTCGCAGAAGAGGCTAAAAAGCAGTACGCTCTCGAAGCTGTTGATATTTTCAGTGAACAGTGACTGATTTGGGACTTCAAGTCCACAGCCACACAATTTTACTTGGCCAGTATCTTTTTGCCCTTATTCTTAAGACATTATTTGTCTCAAGTCTTGACAAGTCTAACACGAAAGCCCGGCAACATTGTTTTGACCTCATCATATTATCGTGCTGGCATCCTTGTTGACATATACCTGGGAATTACACGCCCGTATTCACTCTCGAGAAGCAATGCAATTGGTGCTAGCGGTTTGAAGTTTATCACTTGGCTAGAATGAAGGATGAAAGAAGAAGAAGAAGAAGAAGAAGATTCTAATGTTTTATAAAGAACAAGATTGGGTGGATCAAAACGTATTAAATTATAAATACATGTATTGTATACTAGCAACAACGTCTTCATGTGCTTGTAAGATTTCTTACCAGATTTATCTGAGACTTTAAAAAATGAATACAAACTTGTCATGAAATATTAATCTTTATTTAGCACTCAAGATAGTTCTTCTTTCCACAAAAGCTAAAGGGTATCGACGTTTTACTACTGACTTCTTATTTTATAAAATAAAATTTAATTTTGTTGATTTATAAAAATTAGAATATTGAAAACCTAATTACTATTTTTTTAATTTGAGATTTGATTTTATAGTTTATTTTAAACGAGTAGATATAAAATTCTTTTAACGTTGATGGAAATTTTCCGTCGATGTTTGGTTTAGTAAAATAAAATAAGATTAATTTGATCATGTTTGTTTTTGTGTTTTAAAAATATTTTTGAAAAAAATTAATTTTTTTATTTTAAAATAATATTTTTTTAATGTTTTTAAATATTTTGATGTATTGATATTAATAATAATTTTTAAATATAAAAAAAATATTATTTTAATATATTTTTAAATAAAAAAATATTTTAAAAAATAATTATAATCACACTCTTGAACATGCTATAAAATACTTAATAATCTATTTTTTTTATTTTTCTTTCTTAGATCTCTTTAGAATCTGTGTTGTTATGTAAAATTTAATTAATATTTTTTATATTTTAAATTTTTTTTGAGTGTTTTTTTTTTAAATCACCCCTCAATATTTATTTTATTTAGTTTATTTTTTATATTAAATGTAATTTTTATTCTCTCCAGTACCTTTTTGTTTTGTTTTAATTTAACAACTAGAAATTAAATATTTAACCTGGTGATTGATGTTTATCTTCTATAAAATAATAATCATTATCCCAAGACACAAGTAATGTACAGGAAAGATGAGTACAGGTTGACTGGGAACAGACAGCAGCATCTCATTCTTAATGAATTAATATTGTTTTTTTGCCTGATCTGTTACCCAAACAACTTTTGCTAGGTTTTCTATAAATGAGCAAACAGTCACTGCTGATGGCTCCCGCAGGCTACCCAATGAACTCTCGAAGCTGTTGATATTTTAAGTGCATGATGACTGCTTTTGCAACTTTAAGTCCACAGCCACACATTTTTACTTGGCCATTATCCTTTTGCCCTTATTCTTAAGACATCATCTGTCTCAAATCTTGAAAAATCTTTGATTAAAGCCCGACAACATCGTCTTGACCCCATCATGTTATCGCGCTGGCATCCTTAACATTCCTGTAATTACACCCTCCCTCAGCTAACTAGCGCATTTGGGCTCGATGCCTAGTTATCCAGCTTCTTGGACCCTATCTTATATTTTACGGGTTGTTGGTTTTTATTTTATTTTATTATTAACATAGCTATTTTAATCAATTT